AAATTAATTTTTTATTTAATTAATTAATTTGATATTAATTTATATATATTGTTACATACATTTCGTTTAAACAGCGATAAAATTAAGGTAAGAGAAGCATAATATAAATTCCATATTTTCTCTATCCTTCTTACTTTTCTTTTTCGAACAGAGATGTTCAATAATCATTGTTATTTTGTTAAGTATTACTGCACGATTTAAATTATTAAGTTTAATGATCGATATAAGCTGTTGCAGGATAGGATTTAAATATTAATAAGACCTATATATTAATAATACCTTTTTTGGTTGAAATAAAAGGTCTGTTTTTTATGGCTAAACTAATGTACACTTTTGGAACTTAAAGTGGGAAATATATATGTTTTGTATTTGCGAAAGCGAGAAAAAGAATTCTAATGCAGGAATAAAAAACAAAAGTTTTTTACAACTTTTAATCAGAAATTTCTCATTAAAAAAAACTGCAATTGTATATGAAATTGTTTCAAAACTTATAAATCCAAATCTCAATTGATCAAACATATAAATATATTTAATCTCTTAAAACAATATTTTTATATTTTAAAAAAATCAAGACATAATTAATGTTTTCATTTTAAACTGGAATATCTAAATTATATTCATACACAAAGATATATTTATTAATTTATTAAGACTTACAATATAAGTTGATGTATAGTTTTTCGTATAATTAAGCAACGTCCATTACGTAATATAGATCCACAGCAAGACCAATGGTTAAAACCTGGATGTCCAATATGTCCATGGCCACAACCTTTGTAACCACCTTTATAAAAATTAATTTATCTTTTATCTAATTGCTTCTAAATGTCTAAATTGTGAATAGGGCCTATTAAAAAGTGTATTACAATACTATAGAATTAATATCATAAAAAAATTTGTTTTTATGTTTAATACATATTATGTTTAATGTTTAATGTTTTTATGTTTAATACGTAGTTCTATTTAAAAATTGAATTTTTGAAATTATAATCCTTACCAGGCATGGTGCCTTTGCAGCCACAAATAATTTCTTTCTTTCCACCACTGGAGCAAAATGTACAACAGTGATAAATACCACTATGTGTAAATCTCGAAGCTGATAATCTCGTATTTTTATATTCTACAAAAAGAATATAATACATATATAAGTTTTCTGTATAAAATTTATTCTATTATACGTTGTAAAAAAAACTCATATTTATCGAGTTCGTACCGTTTTCTTTATCTGCCATTGTATTTGTCACACCTAACTTTTTTAATCTTCTCACTATTATTTCAGCAAGCGATAGTATTTCTATTTCAGAACCATCAGCAAGCAAATCGTTTAGTAATGAAATGGCATCTAGAAGATGTCGCGCTTTTTGTAATCGTTCAAACTCTTGAATTCTTTCTCGAGCTTGTTTCATGTGGAGTAATATGATTTTGTAGTCTCGTAAATTTAAAACATCTGTATTCTCAAAGTATCTGTATAAAGAAAATTCTTGTTTATTTCAAGCATCCTTCCAAATAGAGCTTCACATCTGTATCCTTAAAGATAGTAATTATTATATAAACACATGTGAACATTCGATGGTATAAGAGTCACTTAAATAAAAATATTATGAACTATTTTTCTTTTATCATATGTAAATATACAAAATGGGATATTGCTCGATTTAATGTACCTTGCGTTTTTGTCATGTGATATTCATTTTTATTTAAACATTTCATTAAGTATTATTATTAACGTATATGAATGTAAAAGTAAAACCGTTTCATTGTCATTTGAGGTACTGTGTATTACATCAGCACAATCGGTAGCATAATTTTTTAGCATTTCTTATATTTATCAATAATTTTATTTTACTTTAAAAATATCGTTAAAATTAATTGAAGCGGCGAAGCTTAGGCGAAGAACAAAGAAAAAGTATAAATAAATATCTTAAATCTTAAAAAAGCCCAAGTACTTATACATATAAACCTCCATTTTACATTATCTTCTAAGATAGAAAAATAGAAATATAGCCCCTGAGCTTATAAACCTAAATAATAACTTTTTCGGCATACATAGATACGTAAAAATAATTTAATTATATTATTATCAAAATATGAAGATGTTATATGCTGCAACTAAGAGCTACTCCTAGAAAGTCTTCAAATCCAATAGTGATTGATCCAGTTTGTTGCATATCTCTTGTTCTAAATGCCTCTGTAACACAAAGTATGGTCAACAATGCTACAAATGTTTTGCATTCTTCTATTGATCAATTTATAAAATTCTTTTTTCTTTCTAGGCTTTCTAGGCTTTAATATATTTTAATAAACAAATGTACTTATATTGTCAACTATTGCATGTACAGATGTTTACAATATCAAATTTCTAAATAAATCAATAAATAATAAATTATACAATTCTATTGCTTCTACATAAATATTTTTAATTACCTGTAAATCTTTGTATTTGAACACACAATACTATAAATTGGTCGACGGTAATGGATTGATGACCATGAACATCACTCTTTTTTATGAGGAATTGAATAAATTCTGGACTAAGCTTGTAGCCCATTTGTGTTAGGGCTGCGCTTAATTCATTCTCTTGTATACTACCCGAATTATCATGGTCAAAGCCACGAAATACGCCGAGCCAAGCATTTATGTAATTGTAAAGAGCTTGAAATTCCGTGATGTTTATAGTACCATCATTTTCTTTGTCAAACATGCCTGCAAAGGAAATAAAATTAATATTACTGATATTTTTATAACTTGTGAAAGGAACTCAAAATTCAATATATTGTATTTTCTTTGTTATACAAGACCTATAAACATACCGATCATTAATTTGCACGCTATGTCAGAGAAAGTACCCCCTTGACCGTTGGCCAATGCAGACTGCAATTCTGTAGCAGTTATTCGTCCACTTCCATCCCTGTCCACTGTGGAGAACCATCGTTGTACATCTGGATTTATTTCTGATCCTGGATCAGTGGAGCCGTACATTGCGCTCTTGAAGAAACGGATAAGATAAATACAATAGAGGAAAATCGTAAAGTCGTACAAGGTGTAAACGAAATCAGACGCCAACTTCTCGTCTATACGTCAGAGCTAATTATATTAACTTAACGTGCGCGAATCAGGCGATTCGGAGATTTATAATAAACTGAAATGATAGAATAAAGCGTGCATCATCATATTGTCACTGCGTGCAAATGTAATCGTCACAATTGTTATTTAGAATTACCGGGTATGCCATGACTGAAACTTTCTAACCCTAAGATAGCGCACAAATTACAGTATATATCGTAACACTCTTATTAAAAGGTTTAGACCATTTTAGACTGTCATCAGCGTCATCACGAGACTCTGTATTACCAATAGTGTTACATAATATATACATTTGCATGATAATAACATCTTTGTCAAAACATATTGAACAGCTGTAAAAGAAACTTACGATCTTTATGACGTAATACAGTACCGTGCTTAAATCAGCTTAAATACTGCCCTTTTTTTAAGTGTAAAGCTGTAGGAACACTAGGCATCACATAACTTCAACGGTCAACCAATATAATTTATAGCATATTCGACCCGAGCGGATTTACACCAACCTAAGTTGAATTAATGACATTGTATGATCTCCTATTGGTGAAATATGTAATGTCAACCAATAGTAGAACATTATCCAACCCAAATGGGAGCAAATCCGCTCGAAAACGCTATTAAGATAGGCAAAAATCTCAGATTACTCGACTCTGCTATCATATATATGGTCTAATGAATCTGATTGGCTGAGATTTCTACACTAAACAAGAAATAATAAGCTTGTTCTTTTTGGCTGAACTTTTGCATCAGTTCATCTTTTTTTCTTTTCTTTTCTCTTGGAGAGAAAAAAAGAGCAAAAATTCAGTTAAAAAAGTTAAGCCTAATAGATGCATAAAACCTTTGTCCAATCAAGGCGATTCAAGAACCTTATAACGAATTTCGATTGAATGTACACTGATGCATATTAAATAATATTAAAGCTGTTGTGCATAAATTGACATAAAAATATGTATATAATACAAACATAAAAAAAAAAGGATTAAACTATAAAATTGATGAAATCCTCGTTATTTTATTGTTGTATTAAATAAAATTTGTATTTCATAACTCGAAATACCGTAAATGTATAAGTAACTTGGAACAAGTGTAGATGACTTGGGAACAAGTATGGGATAACATGTATTTTTGTTAAATTCAATTATGGATGGACCACGATTAAATTTAACAATAAATAATACATGCTGTCTCACACTTGTTCCAATTCACCTATATTTATGATACCTACTTGCGTTTTATTTTTATACAGATGAATAAAATAAGTATACAACGGCCTTAAATGCTTCTAATCGAATTCGTTATTAATATGCATCAACAAAACATCTGTCATATTGACCTTCAAAATAACAGATGCCACATTACAAAAAGAAGTTAAAAGAGAGTTCAATAGAAAAAGAAATTTTACAATTGTTATAATAAGATTCTTATATTCTTCTTAATATATATTTAATATTTAGTGAAAACAAAAAAAAGTTCTAATGCAGTCTAGTGTAGGAATAAAAAAATAACTTTAGGCTGTTGACGTTGCTTAAAATCTTCAAAAATTTTTTAATTAGAAATGAAATATATATTTAGGCTTTGAAAAAAGAGAAAGCGAAGATACTGAATGCAAAAAATGCAAATAAACTTTTTATTTTGACGTCATGACAATAAAAGATGATTTTTTTGTTAGAAAATTAATTATTTCTCAACTTTTTATTTAAGAATAAAAATTTTTTTTAATTAAGAATAAAAATAAAATTATTTTGATTTTTTTATTGACTTTTTGTGCATTTTCAGTTAGAAAAACAAGACTAAAAATTTTATAATTATAAAATTTTATAATTATAAAGCTTTCTTTCAATTAAATACTCTTTTAATTAAATAATATGTGAATAGACTTTTAGCTAACTTCCATACCATGTTTAAAATACCAATTCTCGTCCGATCACTGAAGTCAAACAACGTTGAACACGATTAGTACTTGGATGGGTGATCGCTTGGGAATATCGTGATGTTGGCATATTTTTTTGCAATTACTATTTCATTATAATAAAAAAAAAATGAGAGTATCGAATAACTTTTTGATCATATGCATTGATTAAATGATGCTTATTGTAATGTTTACATACTACATAATAAAAACAAAATTTAAAAACATGATAAAATCAAACTCTCGAGATCTCTACTATTTCAAGTAATTGTGTCGCCATCTTACAAGTAGAGTTATTACTTCAACTAACTTTATGATTGATGCTTCTCACGTCGACATGTTTTGTACGTTTCTAAGCAATAGCAATTCCGAATTTCTCGAACAGAAACAATAAGCTTTTGTCTCTTCGTAGTTTGTTCTTATTCATCAAACCTTCTCCGAATAGTTTATTCTTCGCATCGTAGTCCTGCAAGCGAGAAAGTCAACAACAGTTACATTGGCAGCATTGCTTGCTTTACGCTTGTCAACTGTAGTAGACTGGAATGAATTGGAGTTATCGCGAGTGATTACTAATAATACTTTATTTTCGTAACAGTTCTGAGTCAAGCGAAAAGAGGAGACCGAGTTCTTGTACCGCGCTGTGGCTTTGGATAATCCATTTCTGAGATAAGACGAGCATCATGGATGACTTACAGAACTACAAGCTGCAGCTTCAGCAGGTGTTTAGCCTTGTTTTTTCTCTCTTAACCTCGCGTAACAATCGATTGGATATGACAACTTACTCTTGTTTATCCTTACTTACAATGTCCTCTCGATGGAGTGACTCCTTATCCTTTTTATTTCAGGTGGAAGCGGCTCTCACGACAGATCCGAATAATGAAGAGTTGATAAAGCTGAAATTCGATTTGAAGGAAGTAATAAAGCTGACACATGATTTAATTAAGTCACAACAGCAGGAAAAAAGACAAGCCAATGGCATGGATGCTAAAGATCCTATTTTGCTTGCAGTTCTGGCCAATAAATGGAAAGTCGGCGATCAGTGTATGGCACCTTGGAGCGAGGATAACAAGTGGGTATTATTTATATTTTAAATTTTGTTTAAATTTTGTTTATTTGTTCTTCATTGATGAACTTTTTGAATTGGTATATATTGATGCAATAAATTAAAGGAAAACAAATGTAATTTGTCTTATTTAAATTTATTGCATTGTGTGCACCTTCAGAGAGTTCTATAAGGATAAGAACACACGAGTTTTGAAAAAATTAATTTTTTAATCAATCAAAGTCCTTCATTTCTTTTATTTCCATAAAAATAAAAGACTCTAATTAGTTAGTTTTTTATGCATTATGGATTGTGCACAAGTTTTATGCATTATGCAAAAATCTATGTTTCAGTTTTAAAGACAGATCTATTGTTTATAATTATAAATTGAATTTTGATCGAGCAAGAAAAGTGCAAGAAAAGTCATAATTTATACAGCATTGAATTGATATAAAATGTTTTGAAAGCTGGATATTTTACCTGAGTCATTAAAACCTAAAATACATGATATAACATAAAGGTGAAATTATTTACAGGAAAAAATTCCAATCAGAAAGGATTTAGCAATATTATTTATTTGCTTTATTTTTCAAATTTATTTTGCATTTAATATTTGGACTTTATTTCAAGAAACTTTGAATTTAACTTTCCTATTATCACACTTTATGTTGAATATTAAAGAGGAAAGATCAAGAATATTAATATTATTAAAGTAAATATTAATTATGATAATGTGTTGTAAGTAATCAACTGTTTAAGTAAAAAAATTGATTTGTTTAAAAAGAAGTGCAATGACTATTCTGAAATAAAACATTTCGCATAATTTTTTAAATATTATATTGCAAAATTTTACAGGTATTATGAAGCAACTATAGATGCGATAAGTGAAGACGGAATAGTAAATGTGACGTTCAATGAGTACAAGAATACTGATGTTACTATGCTCAGTCAGCTAAAGTCTGTTGCTAAGAGGCCAGCATCAGACTGGGCAGATCAAAAATCAAAGTAAGTCATTCCTGATCTATGATGATCTAAGATAATATTCATTGTAAATCGATGTGAATATACCTTACGTTTTTGCACATGTCTGCCTTTATGAGAAACATAAAAAATATAAGGCGACTATTTACTAATCATTCATTTTTTCCTCCTGTTTCTCATTTCTGAATTGGCAACTAACTCCACCATTGGTATGGTATTACATCTGAAATATGCTCATTATTGTTCATTTATCCTTTGATGTCACGCGGTCCGTGTGCATCGTCGGGCTCCAGAAAAAGGTAACAAGAATTGTCCAATTCTTGGACCACGTCTTTGAAAAACAAATTAATTATATATGTGCAAAAGAATTGACAAATTGTAATTACATTCTATACACTAAATGACAAAGTAATACATGTATTATTATAATAATACATATATATTATTTTGCTCTTTTGTAACATCATAAATTTTATGATATAATAAGTGCTAATTTTTGTAAATTGTAAATAATTGATACATGCATCGAGGTATATTAATATTAATACTTATCGAAATGCATGTACTGATAAAAATATATGGAAACGTTATTGTTATTTATATATCTAAAATATTTTGAATTGTCTCTATTTTACTCAAACGATAGATTTATTCGTTTATAGGAAAATGCAAGCAGCTGCAGTTGCGGGTTCGGATCCAAATAAGCAAAGGGAATACCTTAAGAAAAAGAAGCAGAGGAAATTACAGCGATTCAAAGAACTGGAGGAAGAACGGGAATTGGAAAAGAACAAATGGCTAGCATTTACTAACAAGGTATGCAATAACTTCATTTACATAGCATATTTAGAATGTGTTTAAATCATGTTTCTATTATAACTATTTTTATTCTTAATCATGTTTTTATTATTACTACTTTTATTCTCTGCAGTCCTCGAAAAAAGGCGTTATAAAGAAAAGCATCTTTGCGACACCAGAGAATGTAAATGGTCGTGTGGGAATTGGTACCTGTGGTGTTAGCGGTCGAGAAATGACTAAGTTCAGTAACGGAGAGAAGTGGAGGCGAGGAGCTTAAATAAATTATATGTAAATAGATATACCATAATTTGTGATGGAAAAGATAGAGTTATCGTGAAATTATCATTATATTATAAAGACTGGTTTACGAACGCTTCTGCGATACATGAGTGAACGATATGGCAATATCGCAATGTTTATGGGGTTAGCGGCAGTGAAGTGCGTCTAATATTTTGTCTTAGTAACGCTGATCCTATCGAATATCAAGACAATTTCGAATTTTTTACTATGATACAATTCAAAAGTAACTGCAGCGAATAAATGTGTTTTTAGATTAATACATTTCCGTAAGCATAACTTGTTTACAATCTTATTGAATATAAATAAATGTATATTTTAAACGTGCAGCTTCTTTGAAGATATTTTTATCTTTAAGAGAGCATGGACGTATATGTGTAATACAAATATTAAGTAAAAAAGTCAAAAAATTATATAAACATTAATAACATTAATTATTAATAGATAAGATTTTTGTAGTGTAATTTTGTTTTGATTATCAAAATAAGTTAATATTAAAATCAAGCCATTTAAGGTTTGGCTTCTCATGCAGTATATTTTATTCTTTTCTTGTTTATTGGCTCTCGATCCTGCCTCGATAATGAAAGGAGACAATATGGCCAATCGCACTTTATTCAAGTGACATCTTAGGAACATCAGTTTAAAAAGAATGTAGGAATATCTTCTGACATCTTCAAGACGTCCTTTTGAATGTTTTGTGCTGTGTAAATATAATTCATGAATATTTGAGTTAAGCTGGTAACGTCAATATTTCTTCGTTCTATCAGATAAATAAAATTTTACCCTGCAGCTGTACGGATCTGTTTTATCTCGTCCGGTCGGTGATGTAGATCAGCTGCCGTCAGAATGGGTCAGAATCAATATGGTGGCTTCTGTCGTCCAGTCATACGTCATCAGCGACTGATAAATATCACGAAAAAATGCAGACTCAGCACCTTGATAAGACGAAAAAATAACTCTTCTCTTTTGAATAGAATATTCGTTGCGTTCATTGTGTGGCATTAAAGATATCTTATTATTTCCTGAATTTCATATTCTAACCTATACGCGTTGTCATACTTGTCATCGCGAGATGAAAAATATCATGAGACAGACCAGTGACAAATATGGCATTATGTCAACGTAGGAAATCTTCGTAACGATCTCCATGTGAATAAAGCTGACGTCAATGAGCAAGAATTGATCTTGTTTACTTTGGCTTGTGATTCTTTTGCCCCGAAAAGATGGGATCGAACGAGGAGAATAGACTTGCAAACGGCGACGTTCGGATACACAGAGACGTTGATTGGGCTAGATATGGTTTACGTGACCCAGAGGCGCAAGAAAACGCAAAGAGGAATAATGGAGATGATAACAATGCTCTTGATCCAGAAATGTATCAGGCCGGTGCAAATGAATTGTTCGCGCAAGAATATGTAAGAAATATGTGTGACATAATAGAAAGTTAAATTGATTTAGTGTGTCTTATTGTAGTATTACTCTTTTGTATTTTCCATAGAGTTCAGATCCTTGGTGGAAATCAAATTTTTTTATCTCCCAACCTGTGTTGTTTGGCACCTGGGATGGTGTTTTTACATCTTGCCTTATTAACATATTTGGTGTAATTGTATTTCTGAGATCTGGCTGGATAGTTGGTCAAGCAGGTGTTTTGAATGCAGTATTAATCATCTTTTGTACAGGTAGTATCATTACATCAGTAAAAGATTAATTATGAAATCTATTCTTTATGATTAAACTATATACTTATTGTACTTAAAATGAAATAGATATATATTTGAATAGATATATATTTAAGTTTAGTGAAAACGAGATAAAAAGTTTTAGTCCAGTCAGTGAACTCTATAATACACTGGAGTACACCTTCCTTATACATACTAAATTATAGGAAACTACTTCTTGACAGAGAATAGGAAGGTAAATATAATTTGTCTGAAAAGAAAATGAAGAAAGATTAATTGTGCAAGAAGTTTACTTCAGTAATATAGAAAAAGAACGAATCTAAATACTTGTTTTTCTAACTCTTTTCTATAACTTTAACCAATCAATGAGACCTTGACAAAGAAAACAGTACAATTTTTGTATCAAAATGTCGTTTTCTAGAATTTGGAATACTTCTACTTTTCTTGAAGGATACCACAGAATATTATAGAGTTTACTAACAGTACAGTGACAAAGAACAGTTTATATAATATATAATTGATACATTTATATTATTAATTTAAGAGATACAATAGAGTTTCGCCTCAATTATATCTTTGTAAAGTATATATTTTCAGAGCGAGATACTATAAATATATCTTCTACAGAAACGAGAATATTTTTCTAAAAATGATACTTTTTTTTTAAATAAGTTGATGCAAATTGGGGAAGATTATTGTGTACTGTAATGATTTCAGTGTGTATTGCATTGGTGACAGTACTGTCAGCTGTGGGTATATGTGAACGGAGTAGAGTCGAAAGTGGTGGAGTGTACTTTCTCTTGTCGCATGTACTGGGTTCTAGATTTGGTGGCTCCATCGGATTACTTTACTGCTTCGGGCAGGTAGGAACGAATAAATCCATCCTTCCATTTTATCAGCGATTCCAAGAATCGGTTTGTGAATTTTATTTCAGGCGGTGGGTTGTGCTCTAAACGTTTTAGGTTTTGGGGAATCAATGGCCGGTCTTGTAGGTTTGAATTCAGCATGGACACAACGTGGCTTTGCGTGCGCAGCCGTTGTATTGTTGTCTATAATTAATGTGGCTGGTGTTAAATGGGTTATAAAATTGCAATTTATCCTCTTACTTATCCTACTCCTCGCTGGAGTTGATTTCATGGTTGGAAGTTTTACTCATACCAACATTGGTAAGATAACATGTCGTATTGTATCGTATTATAACAGAAAATAACAATATGTTATGTAATACAGAATTTTATAAAATGCTTTGTGTCTTTGTGTATGAGTATAGTTAACTTACTATTTATTTTTGCAGATTCTGGTTTTGAAGGTTGGCTTTCAGGAAATTTGAGGAACAACACTTTTCCTGATTATCAAGATGGATATAACTGGTTTACTGTATTCGGTGTATTCTTTCCCACGGTCACCGGTGTTTTAGCTGGAATTAACATGAGCGGAGATTTAAGGCATCCATCTAGCGACATTCCCAATGGTACTTTAGCGGCGTTGGGAACTGGGTAAAATAAATTGTCTTTAAAGTGAATCATTTTGAAAAATTTTTGATCTTTACATATCTTTAAAACGATTGTTATTTGCAGAACGTTTTTATATTTATGCTTTTCGTTAACTCTCGCGGCAACTTGCGTCAGAAATGCTTTGCTTATCAACTTTACCATAGCATCGACGGTATCAGCAATCTCAGTGTTACTACTCGCTGGTCTGTATGTATCATCATTCAGTAGCTGTTTAGGTGCCATGTACGGTACACCTCGCGTTCTCCAATCTATCGCCAGTCAAAATGTTATACCAGGAATGAGTTGCTTGCAAAGAGGGGTAATTATTCTCATTGATATTATTTGTTATATATTTATTATAAATTTATCTTAGATATAATAAATAATAGGAGAGAGAGAGGGGGAGGGGTAGGGAGGATTATTTTATTTCACACTTAAGAAAATTTATAATTTTTTCATGTACACAATTCTTTTATAATTTATTAGAATAACAATTCTGTTTTCAGAGAGGACCAAATAAAGTACCTGTATACGCTATGCTAGTTGTTGCTGTAGTAACGTTGACTTTCATCATTACCGGACAAATTAATACACTTGCTCCAATTGTGACGATGCCATTTCTGTTAACATATGCCTGCTTAGATTATGCATACTTCGCTCTCGCACAAACATTTGATCTTCGACATACTCGCGAACAACGATTCCGTTCGCAATCTCCGACATTCGATCGCAATTATGGCTCCGCAAGTAGAAACAACTCGATAATTGATATGGATAATGATTTGGACAGTTTATTTCCTGAGAGAATAAGACATAAAAATCTTATGGTAAGAATCACATGCACCGAAACACGCATTATCTCTTTTGAAGATTTATTCAGTAATGTTTACTGACATTTACATACAGAGAAACAACAGTCTTTCTGACAATAATGTATATGTGGATTCATCGCCGAGTATCGAAGATAATACCAGTGTTTCCGGTACACCAGAACGAAAAGTTCACATCCATAATAAATTAGGAAATTGGTACAGTCCTTTGTGCAATAGATGGTTTTCGTTATTGGGTGTAAGTACTTATTCATTGAGAAAATCGTTACTTTCTACGAAATACATCACGTTAAAAGAGCTAGTCTCGAAATATTTAGTTATATTAAAGATTAATAAGTACATTAATTAAGTACATTCACATTGCAGTGCCTTGTAAAATTGCTTATAATGTTTCTCGTACACTGGGGATATGCGATCGCTAATATTGTCGTCGTATTTCTCGTTTGGAGTTATGTCGGCCACGCTAACCCTGCTGTAAAACCTGGAATTTCTGCGGAATTCCAATTCTTTAAATGGTTTCGAATTGCATTACTTCGAATTATGGGGTAAATTTAATTATTTATTATTATATAATTATTTTGAATTGCTAAATTCAAAACTAAGGATTGAAATTAAACAAGAAATAATTTTTTTTTTTTCTCTTAAAAATTAATTATATCTGATTATAGAGTGCTTAGAAAAAAATATAATATAAAGATTTCTTTAAAAGTAAATTCTATATTTTATATTATAGGAGGAAAGTTTATGATTACGAGCAGATAGTAGTAACCCCAGTGCATCCAGGTGTTCAAATGTGTTCGGCTCAACTGAATGAAGAAAATGAAGATTTCTCCGGAAGAAGAAGATATCATCAAACAGCTACAGTTACAGGTCAATATGTTAATGTCGACTAAATGTATGAAATTATGTGATCTTTCCGAAATTATCAATTGCGTGAGTTTATATGCTATTCCAGTAACAAATAGTAGCGTCTTTTTTAGTGGCAGGAACAGATTATGAATGCATATATACTAATGGCTAATATTTAATATGATATTTAAGACTTGATAAGGAGCAGCTTAGCTTATAGCAATCTTTAAACAACTATCATTTCCACTTCTTATTTTATAATATTGTCAATCGCTAACAGCTAGTCTAATTTATTTAATGTGCATACGCATTTGAAATGAAATGCAGTATAATTGCAGCTTTAAAAGCAGTTTTTAACAATCAATGGGATCATATATAAAATTGATTGTATGAAACGTACAAAGAACTGATATAATGGTAGCGTTAGATTTTATAAGTATTTACTTATCGCGATTGACGTACAGAGATAATTTACAAAAGGAAATGATTTAGCCTTACAATGTCATAAAACTTGTCAGACATCTGACAGAAAATATTCACTTCATCTGATGTTGAAGACGATAAAAAATTCATGAGAATTTATCATCTTTGATATAAGATTACTTTTTTACAATTGAGTTTTTACGTTTAGAAGTCAAGTGACAATGACAAGTGTATGGCAATCGCATCGTGCATAAAAATACTCTGTAAATATCTGATAATATATATTTATACACTATTTAACACTTTTATAATTCTCGTACAAATGCACGAACAATTTTGTAATTACAAAAAGGAATATATATGTATGTGTGAAGGGAATCTAATATAATTGTTGTCAGTTTTCTGTTTGCTTTATGAATCGTATAATCTGCTAAAACAAATGTTAACAAAAATAAGTTATTTTTTTATAAAGAAATTACTATCTTTTTAATTATCAATAACGAAACTAAACGGTATAAAATTTTATTAAAACTACACTATCATAATATCATTATTATGTGTGTTCTTAGACGAATACTAGAGTACTAATAGAAGATTGTTCGATTATGATAATGTATTAAGAAAAAGTCACACATTAACGAAAAGAAATACAAGCCGTTTTTTTCAATAATGTATATTTATATATAACGATGATCTTATATTATAAAAATTATTTTACAGCAATCAGCGAATATATATTTCTCTTATTGCGAAACTTCTTACATTGTTTCAATCTCTATCCTACAGACGAAACTATTAAGTCAGCGACCTCTCGATCTTGACAGAGAACAGATAGTTGCATCGTAACCTGCGTTCCACTCAGCGCTAGTCTAGCACGTGCTAATATTTCCTTTCCTCCTCGGAAAACGCCACTTAGAAGCAAAATGTGAGCAGCTGCTCCGCTCTGTACTTTATTACTGCGTTCGACAGCTTCTAATCCCAAAAATCCCGTAAGACTTTGAATCGCTCCTTCTAAAGACGTCACTGAAGCTCCCAGAGCGAATGTTTCTTCTAACTTGGCATATCCTTTTGCAGCGAATGTATCCCAAACAGTATTAAAGTCTATGCCTCTGTTATTAACGCCACGTATTTGATCGGCTACAGTAACTTCCAAATCTTCCAACTAAAAAATCGTATACATAATCATATATTAATTTTGTGAATAATAAACAATAATTTCGTTTTAACATAATATAAAACGAATAATCATTTGATTTTTTCCTCTCTATGAGGAAAATTAATTTTGTGTTGTTTGCATTGCCTATAGAGATATTTATATAAAGATATTTCTATAGAGAATTATTTTCACACTATCTTTTACCATATATTCATCATGATATCCTTGTTCTGCATCTGGTATTCCGGTCGTTGGATCGCAATCTCTTGCCATAAATCGAAGTGTCGTGGGAATGGTAACGACGCTCGCTTGTATATCTTCTGGATATTTTAATACTGTGTAAGTGGTTCCTGGCTCATTGTAAGATAATCGAGGACACGGTACCACGCATACAATAGAGTAACTGAAATAAATAGTTTGTTACATTGTGTCAGAAAAATGCAAAAAAAATGTTATAATCGATATGCATTTACCTTTCGGGAGATTCAACAGCCACTACCACATCTTCGAGGAGTTGATCGGAGAGTGTGTTCACACAGTCGAACTGTAAAATAAGATACTCAGGGAATGTATGTTTGATGCATTTGACATTGTATTCTGTTTCGGATTCTGTTAATTCAAACACTGGCGAGGATTTTAGGAGCGATGTGTCTTGGATGATCATGGCTAAATGCGGGATCTGTGATAATTTCTCCATGAAGCTTTCTTCTCTGGTTAAACGAGGCTGCTTGATAGTAGTATGTACTTCCACTTGAGCTGGTTCCTCTACCGTTTGAGCTGGAGGTATCTGCAACAATTATATGAATAAACTTAAAAATTCTTTTTTAAATCAATCAGAAATTTTCTAAGAAAGAAAGATATATGTATAAATTTTTTGTTATTACAATAAAAAATTCCAATTTATATACAGCACAATTCCATTTTCCATTCATCGCTACATTGCTTTTACTTACTTTTTGACTTTTCAAATATATATAGAATATAAATCGAATATAAATAGAAATTATGAAAAATTATTAGAAATAGAAATGCAAATAAAATATTTTTTTTTAATTATTAGAAACATAAGCATAATATGATATTAATGTTGACTTTATCTTTTTACAAGATGCTTATGTACATGTATAAAAGATAATTATCTCGTCTTTATGAAGGAATTTTTCAGAAAATTGGAAAAAATACCTGAGAAATGTCGAATGAGTCTTCCATAGATGTTTGTATGTAATTTTTTAAGGCCCTTTCCAGTGTCGGTATGGACAGCAAAGGCGGTTGTATCAGAGGCAATATAGTCGGATCGTTCTGTTGTTGCAAAATCGTACAATAGTAAGCCGCTCGATCGCGAACCTCGTCATCCGAGTCCAACTGGCAACGTGAGAGTAACACTAACACGTTCGGAAGTAAGGGTGGACAGGCGGCAGCGAAACGTGCCAATGCAGTAACGGCTGCTGCTCGCACGCTAGCGCTTTCGAGGATAACGCGATTGTAGATAAAGCGGATGTATCTCGACGGTTGTTTCGACGTGGGTCCCTCTTGGCCAAGTAAATGCAAAATGCGAACGGCGAGGGAGATGTGTTCACAATCTTCGATGAATTCGCAAAGATGCGCGAGTCCCGCTTCCTTAGCTTCTGCATTTCCTTCCATTACGGCTATGATGGTATCAGCGATCGCCGCTTTATATTCCAGCCCGCCCTCATCTCTTAGCATAGCCGAGAGGAAATTCATCAAAACCGCATGCTTGCGAGGGAACTTTTGACACAGGGCCCTGAGAGAAAAAAGAGATTTTAGAAGAATGATATTAACGAAGTTATCATATAACTCGCAAAATGAAATTTACCTGATGGCTTGAACTACTACGACTTTAAATTCATCTGAAATTTCTGAAACAAAGGTAGCGATCTGCTTCATTAGACGATCAACGGAACTCTCTGCTCCGGTCTTCAAGAGAGTGGTTATCGCCAAAGTGGCAATTGATCTGTTCGAGTCTGTGATCAGATTTTCCAGATCCAGATTGCAAGCTGTGACCGCCGCTGGATGAGACATCGCGACTTTGTTGAGAGTCCTGACTGCGGCAAATCGAAGTGCTGGCTTCGGCGAGCCACAGAACAGTTGCAGGACGCTAATCGCTGGTCCAATTTCTCTGGCACCACTTCGTCCAAGATTGACCAAAGCATGCGCTGCCTCGTACACTACCATTTCGGATTTATGGCGTAGACAGGATTCGATGAATCCTATCAGTTCTTCGCCTTCATCCACCTCATCCAATAATTTATATGCCATTCTAATCAGCATGCAAGCCGCATAAGGACTCTTTGGACTTGTCCTCATAAGTTTCGCAACCAGCTTGATTACCGCATGCTTGTCTGCCTTACGTGCTTGATACAAGACACCTAGAGCATGATATTGAACCATCACATTGTCACAATTTAATGCTTCCTGAGCCTCATTTGCCCATCTCCTTGCAACATCACTGGATACGCTTGTCAAATGCAAGGAAGAAACAAGAGCAGCGCTGGACACAGCTGGCGAACGATCAATTATGGCTTGCTTCATATAACGCTCGATTGCTGCTAGCATACTACTGTCGGTGATGGTGCAGAGTGCTCGAATAGCGGCAGCCCTATACAAATCCTCTTTTCCTGTCATATCTTTCGTTAGACTGGACGTGACTATAATCACATCCTCGGCTAAGGAACTCAATTCTTTGATACCCAGATAGACCAGTCGTCTCAATATAACATCACGGGACTGAAACAGCTTGGTCATAGCAAAGAAAGCTTCTGTGGCTTCTGTCGTACCTAATTGTTCGCCCTGGTTGAGCAGATACAGAATTTTTGTAAGAATGTGGGCACATTTTCTCGGATTTACAGGCGTGTTGTTAAATGTACGTGCTTCCTGAAGAACTGTGGTCTTCTCCAAGTTTTGAAATGGATTTCCACCACCTTGATCAAACAGGAAAGATATATGTCAGTACTCAATAATCATAAACACTAAATTCTAATAAGTTCTAAAACATGTATAATTTGAAAATGTATGCTCATAGGAAATTATCACAAAACTCGATATTATATGATGTCTATACTTATTGTACACTTGTTATTTCTGTAAAAATGTGTTTACTTGTAATTGTCAGAAATCTGATAACCTACACGCGTCTTCTAATTCTCTCTCGCGGGTAACACTCGCGTTAAGACTATTAGAAATATTAATTTATAATTACCATCCTCCTCCTCCTTTTTGTCACGTTTAAACGTAATCATATTTCAATGCGAATAAAATTTCGGATGACGAAAAGATACTACGACACGTCAGCTCGATAGACGTATTCTAGACGGCCATTGCAGTTTCTATCTTTCACTGTCTTTCCTACGGAGCAAAGGACGTGGAGCATGAAGAAGACACGATTCGGATAATAGAGAACAAAAGAAATAAAAACGAATAAATTACATTCGTGAATTATATTGTTAGGGAGAGATATATATATCAGAGTAAGGCAATTACTAATGAGATATTATTAAAATCGTGGGGAACTAAATTTTTGTAATTATCAATATAGAGCTTTAAAAATAATTAATTTTTTATATTACTGACTGTTGATAAATATAAATCTACAATCGTTATCATCCATAAATATTGATATTATCAATTATTAATAAATTTATATTTTGAGATAATTTTGAGACGAAAATCCTAATACGAAAATATCGAGACTATAATAATTTTTGAATTATCATGGTACCATGGTATACACTATCTTTAAGCAATTATAATTTAAAAACTTGTAGTCTCGACATTTTTGTATTAAGATTTTCGTCTCAAAATTATCTCAAGAATACATTCTTAAGATAAAATGCGGTAATGTGAGACACCCTGTAACGTATAAGTACATATAGAAATA